CTGGAAAGCTTGAGATCATGTGAAACGTCCAAGAGTTAAGCTTTATAGCATACTAAACGTTCTTGATTGAAGCTTGGCTATGAAAGCAAATGTTCAGAAGCTATGCTTGGTGCCAAGCAAAGGTACAACATGGAACTAAGCGTGGAGTCAAATAAACGTCCCAGCAGGAAGCTTAAGTCCCTATGGAACATCTGATAGTTAAGCTTAGGACAACAACAAACTTCTTTAAGGAAAACTTAATGTATCCAGAAACGTCCAACGTGAATGTTTCCTCAATAATTTGATTTTTTCCACATATCACTCCCACTACTTTCCCAAATATCTTACAATAATCAATATAGCATCAACCATGCAACAAATTTTTAAAAGGATATAGAATTGTTATTTTATAATATACACTTATTTTTAATATAATTTTATAATAACATCGTAATCATATTTAATAATGATAAAATATTTTTTTAATAGAATCATATTTTAATAGAATCAAATTTAGCTAAAACTAAATTTGTGCAACTAAAATTGAAAAGTTAAAATTTAAATAAAATATAGTATTGTTTTTTCTTTAAATAATATTTATTTAACCTTTCATACCATTTTAATTATAATACAAAATAAGACTAAGAAAAATACCAACAAATTTAAGTAAGTTTAAATAAAAAAAAAAAAAATTGACGGGTCGACCTGGACTCGGCCCGCAGGCCACGACCACCCGGTCAACAGATTAACAAAAAAAAGTTAAATATGGCGGGCCGTATCGAGGGCCGGCCCGGACCCGGCCCACCAGGTGAAAATTTTTTACACACGAGTCCAGAATTGTCCCGGTCAAAAACTATGGACTCGGTTCTGGGCCGGTTGACCACGGGTCGATTCAGGGTCGATTCGATCGATTCTGATCGAACGTCGTGACTAGTCCGTAAGATATAAAAACAAAAACTTCTACTTTGATTCGTTAAAAAGTGAGGTTCATTTTATTGGATCAATAGTCTAAGTGAGGTCCATTCACAACTATCATAATTATCAATAGACTAATAAGATATTAAAAATATTTCATAACTAAATCTTGACCAACAGTCAAAAGCTTTCAACAATCCAGGTTAGCGGGTTGCCAACAGTCCAATATTAGGCCACAAGTCGGCTTGACTCGGTCAACAGATTTAAAAAATAAAAGAAAAGGAAAATACGGCGGGTCGTCTCGAGGACCAACCTAGACCCGGTCCACTGAGTCAAATTTTTGTATACAAGAGGCCCCGAATCGGCCTAGTCAAACTACGAGCTCGGTTTTGAATCTGTTGACCATAGGCCGGTTTGGGTGAACCGGCGGACCTAGCTGGGCCGGCCCATGGCCATGACTAGTACTCTAAACCCGTAAGATGTAAACATGAACGTGCATACAATACATCTACTTTGATTCACTAAAAATATGCACATCTACTTTGATTGACTAAAAATTGAGGTCATTTCTATTGGACTAATAGTCTAAGTGAGATCAATTCACAACTATAAGAATTGTTTGTAAACTAATTAAAAATTAAGATTCTATTAAAATATGATTCTATTAAAAAAATATTTTGTCATTATTAAATATGATTACGATGTTATTTTTAAAATTATATTAAAATAAGTGTATATTATAAAATAATAATTCTATATCCTTTCAAAGATTTGTTGCATGGGTTGATGTTATGTTGATTATTGTAGGATATTTGGGAAAGTAGTGGGGGTGATATGTGAAAAAAATCAAATTATTGAAGAAACATTCACGTTGGACGTTTCTAGATACATTAAGCTTTCTTTAAAGAAGTTTGTTGTTGTCCTAAGCTTAACTATCAGACGTTCCATAGGGACTTAAGCTTCCTGCTGGGACGTTTATTTGACTTCCACGCTTAGTTCCATGTTGGACGTTTGCTTGGATACCAAGCATAGCTCTGGACGTTTGCTTTCATAGGCAAGCTTCAATCAAGAGCATTCAATATGCTATAAAGCTTAACTCTTGGACGTTTCACATGACCTCAAGCTTTCCAGTTAGATATTTACTTGACTTCCAAGCTTTGATACTGGACGTTTCTTTTCACAGTGAAGCTTCCATATTAGTTAGACGTTTTCCTACCTTATAGGCTTAGCTCGTGGACGTTTGTTTACACAGTGGAGCTTCCATGTTGGACGTTTGTCTGCCTTACAAGCTTAACTTCTGAACATTTCACATGGCCTCAAGCATACCATTTTGACGTTGAGCTGCATAATAACTTGTAGTGTAAAAGTTTAAAATGTGTTACCCCTTCTCATTTAGACGTTTCTCTTCAGAGTCGGGCTTCGTATTTGGACGTTTCCTTGGCTTCCAAGCTTAGGCCTTAGACGTTTGTTTTCACAGTCGGGCTTCTTTGGATGTCAAGCTTAGCTTCTAGACGTTTCTTTAGGTTCCAAGCTTAGTTAATATACGCTTGAATGTATTTTTTTCATTAACTTTTTTTTACCACAAGGATATTTTTGTAAATTTATCATTTTTTATTATTTTTTTCAGGCGACAAGTAGTAATTTAGGGCGAAAAATAGCAATCATGTTACATTAAGGCATCTAAATGTCATTTGGCTAATATTACCAATTGTGTTTTCACTCTTACGTCTTTTCTTTGTATCTATTAACTAATTTCCCGCTCTTTTATTTTGGCAGTTTATTTATTTTATTTTTTACTACTTAGCCCCTAAATATTTGTCAAACCCTAAAATGAATTATCATTCTTCAAAATTTACCTCCCGTCAGTTTATACCCAAATCCAATCCTCCATTTTCTCCATCTATTTCTTCCCTATAAAAAAACTCAATCCTTTGTTTCCCGTCTCAACGAAACTCCACCGATAGCACCAAGAAGGCAGCGCTACGCGAGAATTTGGGCTCCGAAAAGTAGTGGCTGCTCGCCGTCGAGATCTGTTGAAGATGGCATCGTTCGGCGGGGGTTCGTCGCTGGGACCAATCTCTTCAATGGAAGCGTGACACGTTTCCTCAGATGTTGGTGACCGATCGACGACAGATAGAAGGTTGGGGAAGGTGGCGGTTGTACGACGATTGGAAATTGAAAAGTTAGTCGGTTCATGTCGAGGTTGGTTTGTTTCCATTTAACAACAAAGTATTGATTGGTGGGTTCTGGTATTATTGCTTAGCAACATGATGCGGTACACTGTCCCAGATCTGTGTGTTTTTTTTTTAGTTTTATTTTTATGTTTTGTTAAAAAATATAAGGAGATTGAAGTGTTTGGAAACAATTTTTAATTGTGGAGAAAGTGATCTAGTGATACTGAATAAATAGGAATTTTGAGTTTTTATGAAAGCTGGACCCGAAATAAAACATGATATCTATGTTGTTTTTATGATGTTTTTATGTTGATTTGTAGGTGTTGATGTATTTTTTTTATTGTTGTACAAAAACTCTTCTTTTTAATCTTGTTATTTTTACGTCTGGCATAAGTTTAAGTGATCCAACGCCTAGTATTTTTAAAATATATTTTGTATGTACAATTTCTCAGTTAATTTTGTTTTATTATTATTCTTAAGAATGGAGAAGAAGAAGAATCTTCGGAGAACAATAAGAAAAGAAGAAAGGGAGAAGAAAAAAAGAGTAAAGAGAAATAATGTTGGAAAGAAAGAAGAGAGAAATAGAAAGAAGAAGACAGAGAAAGAAAATATATAAATGTGTTTTAATTGAGTGGTTTTTTATTAATTATATTTTTTTTAGTTAATTTGTAACTGTTTTAAATTCAAAATGAATCAATTACCAAATCTTGTATGGCTGTTTATGTCTATTGTTTGTAGTAAATTGGGAACTGTGTATAGGTAAAAGCTATTTTGTAAAATCTTTGTTAAAAAGAGACAGTTATAAATTTTTCCGAAAAAATTGAAACTCCTCCCTGCCTTGGCCCTATTGCGTGGCCCATCAGCTTTTTAATCACAAAGAACCAAGTGCAATTCAATATTGGTATCCGGTTTTAGTTCGCTTGTTATGTAGCGAGGCCCATTAACTGATCGCGTCAACTTCCTTCAAATGTTTTGTGACTACAAAGTACTCCAAAATACTGAAAATAACACAAAACCTCAAGCAAATAAATCCATCCAAATAATAAATAAGTCGAAAAATATAAACATGCGAATAAATTGAGTATATATAAAAATACACTGTTAAACATATAAAACCTGCACATTTTTCGACCTATCAAGCATTTATAAGGAAAACGTTAGACCACTAATGTGAATTGGAAGCAGCTGGGCTGCTAGAACCGACTGATATTTTACGGTTTTTCCGGTTTTTGAACGATCCAGATGGTTTTCAACTAGTTTTTGTGTCCAGCGATTTAGCACCTCAGACCCTCAGACCGGACCGCTGAGGTGGTCGGTTCCCGGTCGAACCGACCGGTCCTGTCCGGTCTTCTAAACCATGGTTTTTTGCGACATGATGTGACCTCTAATAATGTTGCTTCTTGGATTTCTATTATACAAGAGGGGTCGCTAGAATTAAGCCTTTCTTGGCATTTTTGGTTTTCCACTTGTTGCATTTGATGTTAACCTCCTAAAAAGTCAATGTAGTTGTTGTCTGTCCTTTTATCTCTTGTTCACATTGCATCTCTACTTATCCAAGATTTATTGTTGATCTATCGAAAGCATTTTCGGACAAATTCTTCACTATTCATGTTTTTCAAGAATGGTTCTACGGAATCACGATAGCTTCACGGCACGATTTTAACGAGACGAAACCATATCATAGCATATGTTAATGAATTTGAAAGACGGTCTCTATATTCAATTAAGAAGAGAGTGTGGTCTCACCAAATAAAGCGCACCATAAGAGAGTGAGCTTAGGTGCACTTTAATATTTCTCATTTCCACAATCCAACATTTGATCACATTCTAAAACCCCAAAACGAAAAGGAGATGGTACCCATCAACAAAACACATCATCAATCACAAACACGCACACAACACACAATTAAAGCATTTGGTGAAGTTTTTCCATCAAAACTGGTAAATCCCATCAACAGCTGCCTGAGACTGAAAAGCAGCAAGCTGCAGCCATGGCTCCTGCAAAACATCCGCCGCGTCATCGCGCGACTTCTCGCAAGAAACCAACAGTTGCTGCAACAGCTCCAGCCTCCTGCCCAGCTCCTCAGCCTGCACTCTCAGTACTCTGTTCTCGGACTCGATGGCCGCGTACCTCGGCCCGACCTCGTTTATCTTCCGAACAATCTCGTCGATTTTGGACCGGAAATACACGACCTGCTCGTTCAACTCCTTGACGTGCTGCTCCTTCTTCATCCTCGACCGCCTCGCGGATTCGCGGTTCGATATCATTCTCTTCCTCTTCTTCTCGTCCGTGATCTTCGCGTACCGGCCCTCGTCGTCTTCGGAGGAACTCGTGTTGATGTTAGTTATCTTCCTTGATGACATTTTTGTTTTTTTTTT